TAAAAGAGAGAGATATCGCTGGGTCCCTCGAGTGAGCGAGACTGTAGAAATGTGTGGCCGCACTATAGACGAACGTCGTCTATTTCAGACAGTCGAACTCAGTGAACGAGAAAGTAGTCGAATCAGATAAGGTGGCTTGTCCATGCCTTATATTCGACATATGATATCGTGATACAAAAGGATCATCAACCGGAATCATCACTGGCGTTCGTAAGATCACGAACAAACTCTATTCGAGATAGGTAGTCATAGTGTCTTCTAGAGACCGCCTATGACTTGTATATCCGGAATAGAGATTTCGGGTTATACTGCTATATCGAATGAGCCTATAGGGTCACACACGCAGGGAAGGACAAATGCACGAGAAAACGTCGAGGAATCTGGACAAGAGGTCCGGACCGTTCGGTCTAGGAGTGGACCGAACAGACCGGAGCATCTAGTCCGAACGGACCAAATTGTTGGACCGAACGAACTAGAGAGTCCAGTCCGAACAGACCAAGTGTTGGACCGAACGGACTGACCCGTCAGACCGAACGGACCTAGTTATATGACTGGTTCGAACGGACCAAGTGTCCAGACCGAATGGACTACTAAGCAGTTTGTTCGGTCTGGGTTTCAGATTTAATTTAAAATCCGGAATTAGGGTTAATCACTTGAATAAGAGGAGATTAATAACCATAACACTAAGGGGCCGAAAAAGAGAACTTCTTCAGACCTTTTGGAGAGTCTAGAGGGTTGAAGAAGTGATCTAAGTCTCGTTTTTCTCAAAGCACATCATCGAATAGAAGTTTCAAAGGTTGGAATCCATCCCGAGGTGTGGATACATGTAGAGGGCAAGGTATTCTTCCTGTCTACAGTGATCGGACGAATATATCAATTGATACAGACCCTGGATCGATTGAGGAAAGCGTTCTATCGTTTCTACAAGATCATGCATGATAGGTTTTAGGGTTTTATCAAAATTTTTGTTTTACATCCGCTGCGCAAACCCTAGAACTGATATCTTTGGAATAGGATTCGCTTATGAGATCCCAAGAAACCCAGCACATAAATCTTCGGGTTTTTCTCGAGCTCAGATCGGGCTGGCCCGGTCTGAGAATTCTGACATCCCTGATTTATTTTAGTTGGTTTAGATTAGTTTGTTTCCGATTTTGCTGTGTATCAAAGTTATTTTTCTATAAATAAAAAAGAAATTTTATCTTCGGTTTCATTGGATCATTTTAATTTTGGTTTGTTTATCGATCCAAAACGAATGAAACTCAGCAACTAAGTTTGTTTCGGTTCTAGTTTTTGTTTTTTTAGCGGAGGTAGAACTGAATGGGTGGGTATTACCGTATTAGTTCAAGTTTGATGCCATTACTTTCGGATTTGATTTTTTCAATTTTCAAATATTACATCTATGTTGTTTCAAATTCGAATTTTATAGACAAAAATAATTATTTTAAAGAAATTTTTTGTTTTTTCATTTACTTTTATATTTTATATTTAACTAAGCTCCTTTTTCAATTTAAAAAATTACACCCATTTGAGAGTTTTATACCGAATTTAATTTGATTGCATAATATTCAGTTTAAATCCGTTATGTAACGTCCATCCTCAAGAATGACGAATCTCTAAGAATGGTGATTAGGACAACATAGAAAATCAAAACTACGTTGCTCAAAGCACTAAACAGAAAAAAGACAACCTCAAATGAGATGCAACACAAAGACAGAAGAAAGAGAACGAAGCGACTTCGCCAGCTTTCCACTACACACCACAAACTCTCCTCTAGATCTAGGAAAGACCACCGACTCGGGTCCCGGTTTATTCTCAAGATTCCAACCACCTTTCTGGTAGACCTAAGCAGACAACTCGGTAGAGACTAACCAGACTCTTCTCCTTACAGCTTGAGAAAAACGAATTCCTCAATGGCGGAGACACCCCCGATTTCCTGAAGCGCTTTGTCGCCTGGCTCTTCGTCTACTCCAATCGCCATTATGGCGTGTTTCCTTTCCACTGTTCTTCCCACGCTCATGAAACTCACGTTCACGTTCCGCTCTCCCAGTATGTTACCGACCTGTCCTATCATTCCCGGCTGATCCACCTGCCTGCACAATATCAAATTCCCCTCGAGACTCACATCCACTCCGAATGATCCAACGCATGTTAAATGTGGGATTCCGTATTTGATCCTCCCCTCGATGCTTATGTTCCCGGAATCTGAAACAGCCGCGGCAAATTTCGACCCCACATTCAGGATCTGAACTTGGATGGAATCGACGGGATTTCCTGGGGATGAGTCCACAACCACACGTTCCTCACTGATACGAAGGCCCTTTTGCTTGGCTGTGAAATCAGCATTCACCAGGTTGACATACGCGGACGATATCGGTTCGATGATCCCCTTCGTGATCATTGCACGGAGAAGTCTGGTGTCTAAATCATCTGGGTCACGAGCCGTCTTGTACACGACCCTGACGGCTTGTATCCCGGTGCCTCCAGATACCAATTGTACTGCCAGCCTTCCGAGCTTCTCAGCCAAGACAATGTAAGGCGCCAGTTCAGACAAGACCTCAGGTGCAACCATAGGAGCGTTGACGGCTGTAGCTGATAACTCGCCCTTCAATGCCCCTGCCACTGCCTCTGCTATTTCAATAGCCACACCTTCCTGAAAGATTCACATACCCAATGTTAGATTGGTCATACGCCTTCCATATGTATATCCTTCAACTGAGCAACATGATGATGTATAGAATATTGCCATATGCGACATCGCACCTGTGCTTCCTTTGTGCTGGCTCCGAGATGAGGTGTTACAGTGACATTTTCGTGTAGAACTAACTTGCTGTCTTTGGATGGTGGCTCCTCACAGAACACATCCAGAGCTGCCTGTTCATGTTTCACAGGATTCAAATTATATCCACGGATCCAGAAATCTGATTTTCAGATACCTCAATCGAAATACGAACTCGAGGCTTCCTATTTCAATACAAACCCTAAAAGTTTCAGAAATCCACCGATTGGAGATCACAGGATCAAACACAAATTCAACCAAAACCTCGAAATTCATAGAACGCAAATCGAACCTGAGCCACAATCCCCGAATCGAGAGCCCTAACGAGGGCGTCCTCATCGATGACCCCGCCTCTGGCGACATTGATGAGACGAACACCTTTCTTCATCTTGGAGAAGGTCTGGTCATTGAAGACCTTCTTGGTCGCGGGAGTGAGAGGCATGTGGAGGGAGATGAAATCAGCGGTGGAAATGGCTTGATCGAAGGAGACGAGGTCGACGCCGACGGCTCGAGCTCTTTCGGCAGGAGCGTAAGGGTCGTGTGCGATGACGTTCATGCCGAGACCCTTGGCTCGTCTGGCGACCTCCGAGCCGACCTTGCCGAATCCCATCACCGCCAATGTCTTGCCGACCATGGATACTCCGACGTACTTGTTCCTCTGCCATTTTCCTGGAGATTTTTCACATGCGTCGTGAAGAAGTTTGTAAAAAATTTATACCAAAAAAAAAAAAAAAAAGTTTGTAAAATTCTGCTTTATAATTCATTTTTGCAGATTCAAACAAGACGACATTTATACTGCTACGGATTCGAAATAAATTACATAAAATCATTAAAAAAAATAAATGATTTGAATTTTCAAAAATTATAAATTTCGAACAAAAATTTCATATAAAAATAATCACAAAAATCAATTTTTATTTGAAAAAACATTATCAACAAATAATAAAAACTAAATTTACATAAAAATTAGATTTAATATAAAAAATTAAACGGATATAGTTTTTTTTAAAACGACAACAAAAATTTAACCAATCAGATCCAAAATCTCCTACCATAATTTATACTACTGACACAACTTTGTTTTTCAAGAATGAATACTACATGTGTGGTGAATCGATATCAATTTCAATCAGAACATACGACATCGAGATTAACCCCATTCCACTAAGAAAATATACTTGAATAAAGTATTAATTTCATAATTCAATTATAAATTTATCATATAAATATATAGCTGCCATGACAATTCTACTTTATACGACGGAATCGAATATTTGAAGAAGTCAATTGAGAGTGATTGATATTTTATTGTTAACTCATGATTTTTCAAAGATATATATGCCCACTTGCAATAACTAATATAAAAAAATGGAGCATTATTAAAGCATATTCCTCTATCGTTCATGATAATGTGTTAGTAGACGACAAAATCTAATTCCTAGCAGTAAAATGTTCTATTTATATTCTAAGCAGCTTTTAATATGATTTTAATTTTTTTTTAAATCAATGGTAAAAGGAAAAGTTGTCCAAACTCCAAAGTAAGTGGAGTTGGGCATCCGCAGATGTTTGGTGGTCTTGCCATGATTGTAGAATTTTTTTTTTTCTTATTTAGAGCAAAAAAATAATCTTTTTTGCCAAAATATTTTAAGCGTAAAATATGATTCTTGAATTTATTTAATTTTGAAATTATTATTTAATAATATCAACTTTATAATTGGAAAGAATCAAATTCTATTTTTTATGATGTTAACTTTATTATAAAATGAGGAATAAAATTCTGAAAATGATTTAAATATCGAGAATAAACGGAGAAAGAAAAATATCAAATGAACTAAAAATTTCAAATACTAAAAATTATTTGGAGAAGCTTTTGTTGCTTAGCAATAAGATTAAAAATATATTATTAAATTTGGATTAATAATATATATTATGGATATTTTAGAAATGGAGAAACTAAGAAAACGACAAAAGTGAAAAAAATGGAACTAAAGAGAAGTACAATAATTATTTTGTACCGTTGGAGCTAGGGGTGGGCGTTTCGGTTCGGTTCTTCGGAATCGGACCGAACCGAATCGTTAAAACGGTATTTTTTCCGACCCGAAACCGCTGTTATTTCCCGAACGGTACCATTTTTAGAGAACCGAATTTTCCCGGAACCGAACCGAACCGAACCGAACTTTAAAAATCCCGAAAAACCGAATATTTTTAAAGGAAATCTATAATTTTTTTTAATAAAATCCGGAACCGAACCGAACCGATACCGAAATCGAACCGAACCGAATACAATAAAAAACCCGATTGGTACCTATTTTTGTAAAACCGAAAGAACCGAACCGATTAATTCCGTCCCGAACCCGAACCGTTTCTCGAAACGCCCACCCCTAGTTGGGGCGTGTCAGGAGTGCATTATATGATATTATAATGTGCCCCACCTCTGTTACTTTTTTTACTATTTTTACCAAAACTTAAAAATATTTTCGTATATGCATCTGTGTATGTCCCTTTTAATAACTTTTACACGAATAAGCTAAATCGATGTTGTAAAAGTATACAGAAAACTATGACCGATTTTATAATTTTGATTAAAAAATTAATTTAAACTTAGATTTTCCTAAGGTTTTTATACGTATTTTAATTTTCTAAATACGTATACGACTTTTGTACTTTACAACACAGGTGGTCAATAATATTTGACCAAATTGAAATTTCGAATGGAAGAGGAAAAAATGGAACGTGCTCACCACCGACAAACAATTATAACTGGAAAATGAAAAAAAATACGTATCCAAGGGACCACAAATGTTTATAATGAGGGTAATTTATTGTTGTTTTTAAAAAAAATATCATAGCTAATTTAGACATTGTACTGACTTTATATGCGTATTTTGATTATTTACAGCTATTTTATTATATAATTATGGGATATTGAAATGTTATTTTAGTAGGGTGAGTTCAACTAGATTATCTGCAATTTTGGGTTATTTTAATACAAATCCAAATATGTTTGGATTGAACCTTTTAAAATCCAATCTTATGTTTATGTTTATGAGGTTTGTAAAATATTTGCTAGTGTTTTTTTTTTTTTTTTTTTTTTTTGCATTTCCGATCAAAACTTCTATTTTCAAACAAATGTGTTTTTGTTTTGAAAAAAAAAACACTAAGAATATATTTGTATTATCCGTAAAAATGACTAATAACATTTTGATTGTGAACTCGAATCTAAATTATCTATAATCACAAATATTTTAAACATTAATTTGAAGTGTTTATGCATTTTGTAGGATTCAACTAAAAACTGAAAGGAATTGAGCAAAATAATTGACGCGGATAGAGGATAGGTACCAGATTTAAGGGAGGCGTCGGCCTGGGCGATGTTACGTGCCATGGACGCGAGGAGGGCGATGCCGTGCTCGGCGGCAGCCACGGTGTTGGCCGTCGGGGCATTGACCACCAAACACCCGAACTCCGTGGCCGCCTGAAGATCCACGTTGTCGATCCCCACGCCGGCCCTCCCCACCACCTTCAGCCTCCCCCTCCCCGCCTCGAACACCTCCCTCGTCACCTTCGTCCCGCTCCTCACTATCACCGCCTCGCACTCCTTCACCTTTTCCCCCAATTAATTTACTCTCTGTTAGTTAATGTATCATAATTTAAAAAAAAAATTAAATTCCATTACTATTAACTCCTACTTTTTCCTTGAGTTGGTCTTCCGACATGTTGTAGCAACAGTCAACGTCCGCGAATTCACGGAGGAGGTTGACTCCGGCTTCTCCGAGCTTCTCGGCCACGAGGATCTTTGGACGGTATACTGTGTTTTGTCCTTCCTCTTGTTCGTACGGTGACGATCCGACCGTGGAGGATGATTTCTGTGCTGTCTCATCGACGGCGGTTCTCGCGCCTTTGGTCGTTAGCCTTAGACAACGTATGGACGGGTCGTACGATGTGCGGAGAATCGTACGCCGGAGATCCCGGGAGTTGCGGCGGAGGAACGCCGGAAAAAGCGAAGATCTCGGCGACGGCGATTTTACCGTAAGTTTGGGGGAAGAAGGAGAAGAACAAAACGCCATTGTTCCTTTTTTTTTTGTGTTTGATTTCTTTTTTTGTTTGTTTGGTGTTTGTGAGTGTAATGGGTTTCAAAGGATGCTTATTAATAATAGAGACAGATCGTGAATGTTTTCCTTTTTTGTTTTTGTTTTTAAGATTATGAATGGAATCGAGAAAACACAGGCATAGGTAGATAACTCGTGGTGATTTTGCGTAGATAATTATTGAATCTTTTTACTGTGCGGTTAAAATTCATGCTACCAATAATAGTTTAGGAGAATATCCAAAGTGGAATTTACTGTATGTATGTATGTATGTATATATTAAAAATCTGAGAGTGTATCTATCGATTAGATATTGTAAATGGAAAGTTTAGTTGAATATATTTGGAAAATAAGAAATGGGTAAAAACATTGTTTATATAACTTTTCCTTGAATTTGGATAAAGATTTACCTTATCTGTTGATTCTTATGTTTTAATGTTTCAACACGTGAGTTAATTGTTTTACCGAAAAGTCTACATTCATTCATTGTACCTTAGGAGATCGGTACCTGCCACCTCCGAGGAAGAGAATTTTCTATGGCGGCTTCATCACAAAATGGTATTTTATTTGTTTTTATTCATAAACTCGTTATTTTCTAATAAAATCAAGATATTTTTTTTGGTAAAGATTAAACCAAGACTTTGTGCTTCATTTTGTCATCTAGATTTTGACAATCAAGATAAAATTTAAAAACATATATATACTTTGATATTTATAAAAATATAAAAAGTAACCATTAATTTGTTTTAAATTGTAGTGAAAATATATTTATAATATTAGTTGTACATAATAACGATTATTTAATAGTGTTAATTATACAGATTATAAAAAATAAATTCTATAATAAAATACTAATTTTGTGATCTAAAAGAAAAATGTCAAAAAATTTCCAAATACAAAGAATTTACAACTCCGCCGAATTAACATATTTTTCAGAGAATAAAATATCAAACAAATAAAATCATGAAATAATAAACCAATAATAACTTAAAATTTGAAAATATTTTTTTTATCGTGTATAAGTAAATCAAAATATATTTTTAATTAAGGTTGAAAGGAACATATAAAAATATTGTAGGATTTTCAGATTAGAGAACTATGATTAAAAAAAACTATTTTTTTTTTAAATTTTGGATGTTTTTCTAATATATTTTAATTCTAAAAGTTATCATTCTTTTATTTAAATATATTTTCGTACAAATTATCAAAATATGATTAAAGTTTCTATGTTTGTATATTGTGTAAACATCGTTGGAAAATATCATCATATTATTATATCATTTCAATTAAAACAAATCAAAGTGATACCTTAGCTTTGTTTAATGATGATTCATTAGAGTTAATCATTGTGATTCGTCAATAGAATATTAAATCAATTTTTTTTAAAGAAAAATCATAAAACAATTGAAAAAGCACATGCATAGCGCAGACATGAGTTATTGACACTCTCCTGTTTTTGTCTAACAAATATTTTATTTCCTCTCACTAAAATTGCATGTCTCAATATATTTCTCCACCTTTATTTTCACTTTAAAATATATATATATTTTTTTTTATCTTTTAACTAATTTTTATGTAGATTTAATATTTCCTCTATCAAAATTGTCCATTTTTTCTACTATTTTTTAGAAAATTTCGTCAATTATAATTACACATCACCTTACTTATTTGAAGGTATTTTAATGGATGATATATATATGTGTGTGTGTATATATATATGTGAGAAAGGCCGACAATGAAAGAGATCTACAAGATAATCGGAGCACCATTCGAACTTTATTTTAGTCCTTGTGCATGTGCACACTTTATAATAAATCAAAATTATTGCTGTCACTTGTATTAGTTGTTTTAAACTAATTATTATTTTCTGCATCCGTAAAAGGCTCAGTATACTAATTTGATCTTTGCGATGAACCGATGTTTCTTGTATTTCATTAGAAACACAGAAAAAATTAAAATATAATAATTAAAGACCAAGTTTCAATAATTAGACCCAACCGTTGGTGTCCGTCCTAGTGGTTGAGAGGTCACAAAGTCATTCTCAAAGTTATGGATTCGATTCCATTGATGGGAAGGGATGTAATTTCTGAATCAAAATGATTCATATACAAAGGTTGGTCCCGGTCTAGAGTGGATGTAGTCAGACCGAAAGTTCGGGGAACCGGTTATAAAAAAAAAGTTTCAATAATTAGATCGTGACATGATTGAAGACGTTTAAATTGTTTTAGATTGTAACGACCCAAAATCCGGTATTTCGGATACCGTTGAATCGACACTTTGGTATAAAAAAAATCCGATTTATTCTAAAATCAACCATCAAAATCACATGTCTACAGCGGAAGTCTAAAATAACATAAGTCTAAAATTCTAAACTCGTAAAAATAGAAAATCAAATTCTTCGTGTTTCTGGCAACTATCGAGTCCAACCAAAACAATCTGTTTCAGCTTTCACCTGTGGGAAAAAGGAAGGGATGAGCTACGCGAATAGCTCAGTGAAGTCGCAAGACTATAAACCTCGCCTCCGTACACAACATAGACAATCAAATAGAAAACAAATACAATCAACATTCAACTCAAGCAAACTCATTTTTCTTCAACTTTTCTCTTATCTTTTCTTTATTCGATTATTTAAAACGAATTCAGGCTCTAGGACCATTCAGTATCCCTCAAACGTAGCTCAAAACTCTTTTATAAAACAAAACCAAAAATATCTTTGTAACCCTCTACGGATCGCCGCCGTAGTCGGGGTTACCACTCCACATGGATCGCCATCATGCCCGGATCGTTATGCCATCACATACGGATCGCCGCCGTACCATGGATTCAAAACTCAACCAATCGTCGTAACCCTCTACGGATCGCCGCCGTAGTCAGGGTTATAACTCCACATGGATCGCAGCCATGCTCGGGTTGTTATCATACCATCACATACGGATCGCCGCCGTACCATGGTCTCAAAACTCACTTTAAAAATATTTTAGCATAGTCTGAGGTCACATCACAGTCCCTAACTCAATTCTTTACTTCTCCTATCTTTCCGAACATAATGCCAAAATTTAATTAGTATCCCCAGTTCAACTCATTCTAACGATCCAATAAATCCATTAAAAAACGTCATCACATAACATGTACGTCACAAGCCATAATCACTCAACAGAAATTTATCAATCATCAATCATCATTCATTATTCATCAATTATCAATCGTCATCAATCATAAATCATCACTCATCAGTCATCAATCAACAATCAACATGCATCATAAATTCACAAGAAAATTTAAGGCGTCTATCCTAAAATCCTAACCGCATGATATCTACGTTCCCTATCATTATGTCTAAGCGAATAGAAGAAAGAGGAGTTCTGTCGAGTTCCCTCACCCTGGTCTAAACGATGAACTCTGAAAGATTCGCTCTAATCCTCGATCTCGGGTTCAATAACCTCGAGATTTTCTTCACCTATAATTAATTATCATATATTAATTTTAATCAACAATTTATTTTTCAAAAATATTTACTACCGTAAAAAAAAAGTGTTAATCGAATGGTAGTTTTATGATTAAACTATTTTATTTTAAATCGTTTGAATATCTCTAAATATTTTGAATTTTATAAAACAGATTTCAGATTTGAAATCACGGGATTGAAACGATTCAACCCATGTCACCGGAAAAATTTTCGGCGACAGTGGCCGGTGGCGGTGGCCGGCAGCGGTCATACATCCCGGAATCATCTAATTTTTCCGTTTTTTTTCTGTATCCTATGTAAAACCAATCAAGGAATCCAAATCCGAAGTTATTTTGGCCTAAATCGACCTAAATCACCCTAGATCTAAGTTTTTCTCTGACGGTTCTCGGTGATTTTCCGGCGATGTTTCACCATTTCCGGCGACGACACTACCCAGAAAAGATTCAAGTGCTTTCAAACCCTTCAAGTCTCAACTAAAACCGAGTTTCCGTTCACCGGAAATCTACAAAGTTCGGTAGTGAATGAGGAGAAAAATAACTCGGCGAAAAACTCAGAAGATAGAGGAAAAACGGACCAACGGTGATGAAGCGGTGACCACAAGGCGGTGGTCGACGGTCGACGACGAGCAAGGAGGCAAATCGGAGTGGAAGATAGGCAACAATGGTGTTAGGGTCGGCCATGGGAGGAGGAAAAAGAAGAAGAAGAAACCCTAGCAAAAATTGCAGTCCAATCCCCTATTTTCTGAAATTTTCGAATTTTGCCCAAATTTTTATTTCGTTCTAAAAGACCCTAACTGAAATAACAGATTTTTTCGGAACTTTTAATTTTATCACCTTACCCCAATCTCTTATTTTTATTTTTATATATATTTTTTTTAAATATTTCGTTCGTTATATAGATGATTTGATTTATTTTCACATCACTTTTAAAAAAATGTATTATGTATCTTCCTTCCTGCTACTTCCGACAAAAAAAATATAAATATAATATTTTTTTCTTTTTTATTATTTTTTTACTACCTTGCCAAACTCCAAATGCTCCTAATATTCTCATGCTCGACCATTTCTGATTTGGGGTTCCAGATTCGATTAATTTTATATTCAAACTTTTTAGAAATAAAAACTCTATCAATCCATTTTATATTAAAATTAGTACTCCGTCCTATTTTTGTTTCAAAATAAATGACGTTTTCAAAATTTTCATATAATTTTTAATAATTTTGCTAAATTTATCTCTAATTAATAATAATTAAATGTTCTGTATATTTAAAAATAGGGTAAAACCCATAAAAATTATCAAACTTGTAAAATGGTAGAAAATAAATTCTCAAACTTTTCACCTAACAAATTTATTTTCCAACTTGAAAAAAGAATCATTATAATTCTCAAACTTGTCAAATGTGTCATTATAATTTTCAAACTTATTTTTTAATCAAAATCATTGAGGTTTCTTCTGATACTAATTAACAAGTTTAGAAATTATAATGACATCAACTAACAGATTTATAAATTATAATGACATATTTTGTAAGTTCGAGAATAAATTTATCAAACATAAAGTTTAGGAATTCGTTTTCACTGTTTTATAAGTTTAGGAATTATTATGGGTTTTACCCTTAAAAATAATAATTCTCTATGTAATAAGTAAAGATATTTTGGATAAATCATTATTATTTTTTAATTTATGTGTTTAAATCTTAAAATATATCTAAAATAAAACGAAAAGAGTATTCCATTTGGGTTTTTCTGGTTTTACAAAAATACATATTAATCGATTATTATATTATATTTGATTAGATTTATCCAGTTTTTATTAAGAAAATTTTAAATTTTCTTAAAAAAAATCGGTTTTGTAGGTTTTTTAAAAAAAATTCTGTTCAACTCGTTTCAATTCCAAAATATTTGGTTTTGTAAAAAAAAAATTTAACGTTTGAAAACTTTGGACGAAAACGATACCGTATTTTTTGGTTCAATTTTGAAAATCCGTATCGAAACGACCACCTGTAGCACGAACCTCTTTCTCCTCTCCACACAAGTGTTCGTACATATATTTTGAGATTTACATATACATACAAGTGTATGTGCTTCATCAATCTTAAGAAAAAAGAAAAACAAATTGAAGACATGGACATCAGTTCAGTTGTGAATCCACGGCGTTCCTTCCATCAACTACGCCACTCTGAGGAAACCTCCATGTCTGAATCCTCCTCCCACCAAGTTGCCATCTGCAACATCACACAGACAAAAAAACAACTCTCACATGACATGGCAAATAAGTGAACAGTGACTGATACACATCGACATAGACAAGACCTTGTAGCCTCTTCGTAGGAACTCGAGCGAGCTTCCTTTCTCTTCTTGTAGCCCCAACACCCGCATCAGTTCTTCTTTTGTCTATTCACATACAAAACATTCAATTTTTTTAAACACTCGAAAAACGGGTAATCTAATGCTTTCGGTTCTGTAAGGACGGTTTCACGTACTTCTCCCAGCGTGAAACGGTTTTCACTTTCCGCAACACAAGCGTATGAACCATCGGCTTGTTTAAGCATCACTTGCCATGGCCCTGCATTTTGTTTAAAAATCACTATATCAGACACGATAATCCGAAATGAATCAAGTTACCAACTTCATGTAGAGTCGGGGACAATTTCAGGAAGAGTTTGTGGCATTTCACCAGGATATTGACGGAAAAGCGCTCCGTTGTAGTTCACCACATACGGCGCCACTGCCACTGTCTTAGCCAAAGAAACAAGAACAGCTATCACACTACTTCGTTGATGAAACCCATCAGGAAATGTCAGAGATAAACAATACCCAAACGGCCCAAGTACCTTTGAATATTCTCTGGTTCGGATATAGAAGACGGGTATAAACTGAGAGAGAAACCGGTAGTGCAGATCTTTGGGGGGGAATCCAAGCAGCCCTAAGTCAGCACTGCACTGAAATTCATCAGTCACAGGAGCCAGAAATCGAGACAGAAAGAGAAAGAGAGAGTTGAGCACAATTGCAATGTGATCCTTCAGCAGAAGCAATACCGTAAAGTATCTAGCTCAAGATTGAACAGAAGAGCCGGGCTTGAGCTCGCAAATCTTTCCTTCAAGTTCAAAAAGAGAAAAAACAGAGGACATCTCCATTATCTTACCCTGCGATTGATAGAGAATGGCAGTGGTACCTTTCCGGCAAACTTAAGGATGAGTCTAGCTAGTGAACCGTGAAAGAACTATATATAAAGGACAACACATCCGGAACCATCCTAATCAAGCTATGCGAAGAACAAGAAAGGATATTTATGATCTCTTTTGAGCTGAAAAGATTCCATACCAGATACTTCTCTATCACAGCGAGCTCCTTGGTGCTGCAATTGATAAATATGTGGAGAGTTGGTGGCTCCTTCGGATCCCAACGGCCTGCACGACTGCAAAATCTCATGGAATATACAAGAGGGATCCATTGAAAAAGAAAAGATCATAGATTTGACAAACCTTCATTTTCATCTTCAAAATCAAAGTCAAGGGTATTCCTTATGGATCTAAAGAAATTGGAGACAGAACTACCAGGGACATCATCGAGGCAACCGATACTTATACCATCAATCTAATTGATGAAAAAGAAAAACAAGACACAAGAAAGTTAAAACCTTTCCATCATTATAGCATGGAATATTGAATATATCCGTTAAGGCGAATCCCCAAATATGCGAGACATAAGAGGATGCATAAACAGGTTTTATGTTACATGGTTACCGAATCAAGAGCTGTTTTGAAGAGCTGCGTAGCTCTGCGTTTCTCAGGCCTATCTGGAAAAACCTGAAGCATGTTTTGTTGAACAGAGGGGCGGGGTTAAAGAAGAACAACGAAGATGAAGCAATGAACAAAGTACTGAAAGTGGTTGATACAATGCAAGCTCTGGTCTCTATCTTCTCCCGAAGTTTTCGGACTACAGCCAAGGCCAGTTGTATGTTGGCATCGATGAACTCGTCCGAAGAACCCTAGACAACACAAACAAGCAAAGTCTAAGACTCCACACCATGTGGAGAAGACGACAATTCTCAATGGTAACGAGAGAAAACCTTGTAAGAAGAAAAGCTGCTGGGCAAAGGCCTACATATGAACAGAAGAAGAACAAGAGTCAGGCTTAAGGCAAACCCAGAACACGAATTGAAGAGTAGAGGAAGAAAGGACAAGGGGTTTACGGGAAATCGATCTCCAAACGAGATTTTGAATCCTGAAGAGCGAAGGCGAGAGAACTGGCGGCGTCAGAGACCAGAACCTCATACGACTTGGGCTTGTAAACGGTGACGCCTTTCCTCGGGTCGAAGTCAGAAGAAACAGATGAGGCGCCACCGCTTTTGTCAGTGGCTCTGCATCTGATTTCGGTGAGTGAGACCGACCGAGAAGAGAAGATCGCCGGCAACATAGCCATCGCCGGCAACATAGCCATCGCCATTTTTGCGCTCTCTGCGTTGGGACGCTGACGATGTCGGTCTGTTAACTACAGATTACGGTCGAGAGACTCCCAACCGCACAAATGGTTGACACGTGGCGATTCGGCCGTCTCAACGGGATTGAACAGGTTGGACCAAACGATAGCGTATTGCAAGGTTTTTTTTTTTGTTTTTTTTTTTTGTGAAATTGGCTTGTATTAATCAAAATTAGTGGTACATATACCAGGATACCAAATCCACACTACAAGCATCGAACTTTTCCAAAATGCTGCTAATAAAACCCTTGAAGAAGGGAGAACTTATACAGAGTGAACGAACATCGCGAGCTAAGTATTCTTTTCCCTTTTTGATTTGTTTATCTTTTGACTCATCTTATTGGTTGCCTCTAGTAGACGAGAAATGACACCGAGGACGGTGTCCAGTTCAAGTCTGGGGAAGATTCGTCTAATGTCAAACTATATCCATATAGAGTAGTGTTGCATGTATTTTTCTCTTTTATTTTCACTTTTTAATTGCATGTGCATATAGGATGCATTAGGATTATATAGTTTGTTGTTAGGATTGTGCATTCTCATATAGTGTTTAGAACACATAAAATCACGTGCATAAAACCGTTTTGAGCATTGATATGATGATCTATGACATGAGAGAGTAGAAACGTCTTGAAAACATTGTGATCCGTTGAACGTGGTTATGTTTTGTTGAATTGATTGCTTGACCTTTAAGATTGCTTAGAATAGTTTGTGGGATAGAAATCGTTAGTTGAAAACCATGGAACCGATGTTGTCTAGCCAAGTAGAAAAGTTTCTATAAGAACCCTTACCATGTTTACCAAATTCGGTAAAGTCTATTATCAAATGCATTTGTATTTCTTCATGTGCAGAAAAAGATAGTGAGCATCTCGACACTCCGTTGTCATTATCTCGTCAACGAAAATCGTTCAATGACATGAGTGCATCGATTTGATGGCTTGGGTCTAAGTTGTGGGTTGGGTTATCCAATAAACAAAATCGAAAAAAAAATTGGTTAGGAACCCTTCAACTTCAACGTCCTAGGAACCCTAGATGCTAGCAAAAGAAAAAAAAAGGAAAAAAAATCTAGCTAGATAAAAGAAAAAAAAAGAAGAAGAAAAAGAATGAATACCGAAAGCATAGACTCGATATGATTAGGTAGAATGGTGTAATAGGTTCGAGAGACATGCTTGATAGATGATTGAAGTCCTTGGATTGGTTCTAGGTAGCGGTATAGATCCCATAGCTAGGAAAGGCTATCCTTTAGAGAGGGAGATCATACTAGATAGACTTGATCATTGTTCACGGGGATCTAGGTCGGATAGAGGTTTCGTTTTCGATTATCATTTTGAGTTATGTCATTGCCTCTCCCTCCTTTCAGACCATTTTTTCACGGAGTATTTGCTCGAGGACAAGCAAAGGTTTAAATCTGGGGGAGTTTGATAACACATATTTCGGGTGATGTTTTGATATAGGATGTCTAGCATATTTCACTCAGTTTTACATATTTGTAGACATTCTAGGGCACATTTGGTTTCGATATTGGTTGGTTGTGTTCTTTGGTGTTTAAACATGTATTCACACATAAAGACAACAATAGGAGTGGAAAACATGGATTACGGAACATCACAGACGAACTGGGAACATTTGGAGTTGTTTCGGAGAAAACGTGAAGCTCATAAAGTTAGATCTTGCAAGTCCTATAACTTTCACTCTACAAGTCCAAATCATGATTATATATATCATTGGAAAGCTCTCTTTGATATCTACGCATAGACACCAAGATCACCTAAATCTGATGTCAGAGTAGGAAGTTATGAGTAAATTCATGAAGTCCGTCAAAACTGCGATGTGACACGATCGTGTCACTTGTACAGACACGATCGTGTCACTTGTACAGACACGATCGGGTCACTTAAAATCCGAAAATCTTCCAAATTTGCCCAAAAGAAAGAGGAAATAATTAGGGTTAACCTCCAAGATCGAATTCATTGAGACTTTTGACAGAAAACACATCCTAGAGCACACAAAGGGAGAGAGATTATCAAGAAACAAGGGATCTGAGTAGAAGACGAAGATTACGAAGTCGGAGAATCGACTAAGCATTCTTCCTTTCTTCTATTTTACGATGTTTTGTTGTATTGATATGAACCCTGACGTCTCGATGTTTAGCGAGTAGTTCCTCTGCTGTAGGTTAGGGATTTGCTATGTAGGGATCTTTGGTTTTTAATTCCAGACTTTGTGGATCTATTTATTCCATTCAGTTTATTGAATTGTTCTTAATACTTTTGATCTCGTTGACTGATAACGCAAATCTAGGTGTATAAATAAGCTCAAGTAATAAAAACCTAGATACGGCGAATACCGCAAGGATACGGATCAACTGTAGTACCAGGGTCGAACAAGACTCGACTATGATTCAGATCAGCAAATAGCAGATGAAATAGATGAATACCAATAAACTAACTAAGTAAAATCAGATAGATAATCCACCGTAGCTTCGGGATAACCTTAACGCGCAGGGATTGTTTCTAAGGATGGAGAATCTACGAATATCGAACTCTAATCGGGGATCTCAAGTTCTAATATCAGATTTTGCTCTCTCAAGTCCTAAATCCACTATCCAATAATTTAACCTATCGATCTCTCAACCTAATAGATTAAAATATCAAACGCATTAACGATCACTATCACAGTTCCTAAACCGATTAACCTATCTCTCAATAGTCTTAATCAATTCATTCAATGAATTCTTTCCGAATATAATTCCAACTCTCGTTGTCAATCAGAATCTAAGATCAATTAATCAACAGGCCAAGAAGATCAAAAGCAATAAACTCAATTTAATTAAACCGTCGAGTATCGATAACGTAGTCTCGGAAAATAAAAACCAAATAAATCCCTACAAGATTAAATCCCTAGCTACAGTGAAACGACTACTCACTATCCATAACAACAAACGAGTTCAAATCAATAAGAAGAAATATAGAAACAAATAAAGAAGATTCGCAGCGATCTCTCGACGACGATTCTTCAATCTCTGCTCCCGGTAAACTCCGTCTTGATTCTCTCTCGAGTTCTCTGGCTTCTGCTGTGATCTCTCGATAGTTTCTGAAGCCCAAGATGTCCTCTATTTATTTACTTGGCAGTGTGGCTTCTTCTTTTACTGAAAATAGAAATTCAGATGAAAATAGGAAGTTTTCCCGTAATGCAACACGGTCGTGTTGAATGCAACACGGTCCGTGTCAATTCTCTGTTCGAATAGAGTTTGTTCGTGATCCTACGAACGCCAGTGATGATTCCGTTTGATGATCCTTTTGTATCACGATATCATATATCGAATATAAGACATGGACAAGCCACCTTATCTGATTCGACTGCTTTTTCGTTCACTGAGTTCGACTGTCTGAAATAGACGACGTTCGTCTATAGTGCGGCCATACATTTCTACAGTCTCGCTCACACGAGGGGCCCAGCGATATCTCTCTCTTTTACGAGAGGTACAAATCCCGTCTTGACTATCTACAATCCAGCACATGATTCGTTTCGTACCTGATACACGCCTTTATAGTCCTCCTGTTACGCAGGACTCCTCATGTTGGATTCCGTAGATATCTCAGGTCTTAGGATCCAATCATGGAACCGTCATATGAGATTCAAGTCATGACGCTAGTCCATGTGACAATCTCATGCGGGTCAATCCAGTATTTCGTTCTTCAACGAATACCTATGATTGTGATCGTATCCAAATACCTATGATCATCTATATGATCATCAATCACACATCATACTAGTCTTATTATGTCATCATTCCCATAATGACACAAGACTAGGGAGTTAAGTATCATTCATAATGATACATGGATTTCATAACACATCTAGTATGCAAGAACATGTAATGAATCAAATACTCTCATAAACCATAGAAAGTATCAATACATCAAATGTATCTAAATAAAGCTCATAAACAGTACATCATAGAGCACTAAACCAACAATCTCCCACTTGCTCTAATCATGAACTGCTAAACATCTAATGCCCATATCCCTAACATGACCCTTATGCTTCGACGAAGGGAGAGGTTTCGTCAACGGATCGGCAATGTTGTCATCTGTCGACACCCTGCAAATGTGCACGTCTCCTTTGTCTATGATCTCCCTGATAAGGTGAAACCGTCTGAGTATGTGTTTGGATCATGATGGGATCTGGGTTCTTGCGCTTGTGCGATCGCTGCAATGTACTCAGCTTCTGTAGTAGAATCTGCAACGGTCGCCTGCTTGGAACTCTTCCAGCTAACAGCGCCTCCGTTCAAGCAGAAAACATAGCCAGACTGCGATCTGTAGTCATCCGGGTCTGACTGGAAACTAGCATCGGTGTAACCTCTTACAGCGAGCTCGTCTTCTGACCCACCGTATACCAAGAACACATCCTTAGTCCTTCTCAAGTACTTCAGGATGTTCTTGACGGCGATCCAGTGTGACTCACCTGGATCTGACTGGTATCTACTCGTAATGCTCAACGCGTAGGATACATCCGGTCGAGTACAAAGCATGGCATACATGATGGATCCAATTGCCGAAGCATATGGAATCCGATCCATGCGTTCTCGCTCATCAGGTGTCGTAGGACACTGACTCTTGCAGAGAACTGTGCCACTGCTCATCGGTAAGGTTCCTTTCTTGGAATGTTGCATCTGGAACCGTTTGAAGACCTTATCGATGTAAGTACTCTGACACAATCCTAGAAAACTGGTTGGCCTCTTTTTGTTGCACAAGTCGTGAAGGGAATGGAACTGGAGAAGGTCTGGGAGGTGGAGGTACATACTTAGGTTCTTCCTCACATGTCATCTTAACTGGAGTATCTAGACTGCATTGCAGTGCTCTCTAGGATTTGTCTCAGGTTTACCTGGAAGTGATCCTTAAGGTCGCGAAGGTATAGAGGGAGCATGTTGAGCTATTTGATTATCGATAACCTTGAAATGGGCGTCGATCTGTTGATGTTCACGCATCTCGGTGCGAATGACTTCTTGATCCTGCATAAGCTTTGCGAACATAGACTTAAGATCGAGGTCAAAATCTACCTGTGGTGGAGGCGGAGACAGAGCGTAATTCTGCTGAAATTGAAGAGGCGCTAGGTAGTGTTGAACGGCCTGATTCTGATGTTGTGGGAGAGATCGGGGTCGAGGTTGATGTCCTTGAGAAAGACCCTGATTAGATGGACCACATAAATTTCCATGTGGAGTATTCAAGACGTTGGAAGAATTCTTGTACAAGAAGTTTGGATGATTCTTCCACCCCGAATTGGACACGTTCGAGTACAGGTTGTTATCTACATAGTAGACGTCTTCGATCTTATACCCGTTGGCTGATGTGTCTAAGTCTGAGATCAGATGGGCATTCTCAACCTGCATTTTAAGTTTTGCCAATTCTGCACGTAATGCCTGAATTTCAGATAGACTTTCCTTACCTGCACGACTGTCTTTGAGGCTAACGTTTCTGATAAACTCGTGAGAGGGAGCACACTCGTTGGCCATCTTGTTGATCTGTTGCTCTATGAAGTCGAATGACTTTTCGTTGAGGCTTCCTCCACATGCTACTCGAATAAGAACCCGAGTGTCCTCCTTTAATCCCTGCAAGAAAGTGGAAATAAGGTACCTTTTATCCCATCCATGGTGAGGACATGTTCTCTGGTATCCTTGAAAGCGATTCCAAGCTTCCCGTAAGGATTCATCAGGTTCCTGCAAAAATGAGTTAATCTGTTGTTTCGCGAGCTGGGTCTTGCTAGTGGGGAAGAACCGCTGCATGAACTTTTCTTGTATCTGTTCCCATGAGAATATGGAATCTGGAGGTAGTGTGTAGAGCCATTCGAGAGCAGTATCCATTAAGGAGAATGGAAAGGCTATGAGCATGAGAGACTCATCGGTAACTCCGCGGACTATCTCCACTGACTGGCATAGTAGATTGAATCGAGTCAAGTGAGGGATCGAGTCTTTGTTAGGTCTACCTCTGAAAGCCGATGAGCTCAGCATATTGATGAATGCCGGTTGAAACTTAAAATTGTTACGGTCGATGTCAGGCCGGCGAATGCATGAAAGTTGTTGAATGTACTTAGGCTGAAGGTATGCCTCATAAGTGTCATTGTTGTTCTCAGCAACTATAGCACGTTCCTCCATCTTTCTTTGCTGTCGTTTCTTCTTTCAATTGTGCTTAGCAGACTTCTCGATTTCAGGGTCAAGAGGTACTAGTTTGTCAGGCCCAGAACTCCTGGTCATACACCGGAAATCTGCACATCAGAAAGTAGAACAAACACAAAGAATAGATCAAGAAATCGAGAGAAAAGAAAAAGAAAAGAGAAAAAAAATCTAGATTCAAATGAATCTTTATCCTAGCACTAAACTACTCCCCGACAACGGCGCCAAAAACTTGATAACGCAAATCTAGGTGTATATGTTGAGGAATCTACGGGTTCCTAGCATGAGATCAAATCGATCTAGGGTTTGGTTTACTAGGTTTCATGCAGCGGAAGAAAGATCTAAACCTAGCCAAACGTCACACACAACCAGACTTGCAAAACCCGAAAGACCGTGTATATATCCGAGGGAATCGTTACTTACCTCGTTCTCAATGAAACTTGAAGCAAATATCGATCCGGGGCCTGTTCTTAATCACCTAGGACTGAAGTTATAGTCCCTCTACACGTATCCACACCAACGGGAAGGATTCCAAACCATTTGGAACGAATCTGCTATGATTAGTGAAGAAAAGGGTAACTCAAGAGACGAGATCCAATCCCGGGACAATAGAAATCGAAGAGAACAGGTTCTCTAGGGTTCTAGGATGTTTCTCTGAGTTTTAGGGCGGCCCTTAATTAAGTTTGGACGAAATCCCAAACTTAAATAAGCTTAAAAAACCCTAAATCCGAATTTTGGAAAATTTCCAGATCCCGGTCCGCCGGACCAGGAGCTTGGTCCGGCGGACCGCAAGCTTAGTCCGAGCCCTTCGGACCGCTTGACTTGAAGGCTTGGTCCGGCTAACCAAGTTTTGGTCAGCTCCGGACCAAGTTCTTTCTTCGTCAGCTCAGTCCGACTCACGTTTTCTCGGTCCGCCTGACCCAGCGTCTGGTCCGGGGATGACCAACTCTTGGTTAGCCGGACCAGACCTGGACAGAAGACCTCGGACCGAGCTTCCGGACCACTTGGACTGAACAAACTTGGTCCGGGACTGACCAAACTTGGTCAGCTCCGAACCAACACACTGAAAACTCCTTTTCATGCTCGTTTCGGTCAAATCTCGTTTCCATTCTTCGGATTCTTCACGTATAAGTCCATCCCTAGTGGTGTGTGACCCTGTAGGCCCATTCTAAGTGGTAGTGACTT